ATATATTTTTCACTTACTCTTTTTCGGATACGATACGAATATTGTTTACGCGCTCAACTCTCATACAATGAAAATGTAAGCCTAGGGCAGAGCTGCTTTAACCGGAGGTGAACTGACTCTTCGTTTTTCTTTCTTTCTTATTGGTGTTTTACTTAAAAGAAATGCGACTATTCATAAATCTATCAAAAAGTATTTTCTATTCAAAAAAATTTTTAATTTATCAATCACACTTAGATCGTGTTTTAAGAAATAATAGCAGAGACTGGTTCCGATAAATATTCTGTTTTTGACATCTGTAAATCACTGTTAACTTAACAGACCGGTTAAATTGATTTCACAGCTACGTCCTCTCTTAGTCTGTTTTTTCTTTTAAGTTATTACAGAATACATAATTTTGGGCACTTTGACCGCTAGCCGGACCACTGCTAAGCTGGCCGCCAAATTTCAAATAGGATAACAGCACTCAAACTGAAAATGTGACGTCACAACAGAGCTTTAATTAACATTCTAAGTAACAAAACTGCACTTTGAGTAACCTAAAGAGTAGTTTATCGGTGAACAGTVACTACACTTGAACGGAAAATCAATTTTTTTTTTTAAAGCGTGCCACTATGGAACAAAAAGGGCGAATGCAACTAAGGAACTTTAGTTAATAACGCAAACAGCAATGCCGAGCAGTCTACTGTTCGCTACCAGTAGCGAGGGGCGCGTGCATACGCTGTCCACCAGCTCAAGTGGATGGCGCGAGTTCCCATATCTCGGTCTGGAGTTCAAGAAAATCAGCGCAGTCCCCAATTATATGTGGGCTATTGGCGGCGACCGACAAGTGTACGTTCATGTGCACGGACTTGATGTGCCAATACGGGTGAAGGAGGAGTCTTACGAGAACGAGCGCTGGCTGCCCATTGAGGGGTTCTCCAAAACTCTGCTGCCCACCGATCGTTATAAATACTCCAACGCTGATGGCAGTGTTGAAAGGAGCGTGGACAAGATTCGCTTACCCTCCATGGCCTGGCAGTGGGACGGTGATTGGCATCTGGACCTGGAATTGGACGGACAACAGCTGCCTGAAGATGGWTGGATGTACGCCTTGGATTTTCCAGCTTCATACTCGGCAAAAAAGTCATGGAACTCGTATGTGCGTCGACGCAAGTGGATACGCTTTCGCCGCTATGCTGCTCTGAACAGTTGGTGTGCTGTCGCACCCCTGCACAAGGATCCTACGCAGGAGCCCTTCATTGATGTGGCCATAGGCGGCACACACGTGCCAAATGCTCGAGCCGGCACGCTTTGTGTGTGGGCCATAACGGCGCATGGCCGCGCAATGTTCCGGACTGGCGTAACTACCTTTGCGCCAGAGGGTCTACGCTGGACCGCCATCAACACGCCCGTCGGCAGTGAACTGGCCCAGATTAGCGTAGGTCCYACGGGTCTGGTTTGGGCTGTGCTCTACAATGGGCGCGTCATTGTGCGCACGGGCATAACACGGGATAATCTGTCGGGTGATGCGTGGCTGGACGTGAAATCGCCGGTGGCCACCAGTTCACAGACAGATACGCCACGAGGTCTGCGCATTGTGCAGATCTCGGTGGGAACCGATGCGGTCTGGTGCATAACAAACGATCACCATGCCTGGTTTCGACGTGGCATCAAAGGTGAGGCGGCTGGCATCAGTGAAGATGCGGCCATAGGCAGAGG